AGTTAAGCCTGCCTGGCCGTAATCAATCTTCTACAACAAACAACGGCGAAAGATTTTATATTGGAAGATATTAATTTTTGCCTTTGTGTTAGGCAAACATAGTCGCTCTTGCAGTGAATTTACAAACTGGTATATGATATAGAGCTGCTTGATGCAGCAATGTAGTCGGTGTATACCTTATATACATAAAATTTTACAACCTAACTTGGATGGTCATGTAAATTGTGGGCCGGATTAACAGCCACCATCGCTGTAATCACCCACTGGTTGAAAATAAAAACCAGCAGCAGTCACGTGTTCACATTGTGCCTCTTCACTTAAAAGGGTCTGATGATGAGTGATGATGATTCTAATATTAACGAAAACTGGTGTACGTTTTTATATATATCTCATTTCTGCTCCAGATGCAGGCAATTGCATTGTAACAGAGTATGCAGCCTTGACGCCCCCGCTTACGCCACTGCTGCATGCGTATTTTACACGCGCACTATTGTCAACATGCTCGCTAAATACTTCATTTCCCGTTCTTTAACCAACGCTTCTGCGGTACAAAGAGGTTTTTTTTTTGTTTCTTTTGCCCGATTGAACAGCCGCAGTAGCCAAACAGGAACTGCACCATGACCTTCATTTAGGAGTCAGTTTTAGAGATTTATTTATTGTGTAACGCAAACTTTGTCACATGCGCACCGCGGGAACTACGCGACGTTTATTGCGACTTTCTCATGCACCGACGTCCACCTGCTTGACGATAGTTGTTGCGCGAGAACAAAACGACGGCACAGAGACAAGAAGGACACGAAGTCGTCGTTTTGTTCTCGCGCTATAACTATCGTCATGCCATACCAACTAGCCCAAGCTGCCACACTTCTAAGTCCATCTGCAGTCACCCCACAATGACATTGTCATCGTGGATAAACTCGGGAAGGTTTCGATTCGGGTTTTTACTCACGGAAGTGAGTCGAATGTTCACAAAACACAACTTGAACAGAAAGCTTGCCTAGTTTAGGACACATGAGGCCTAAGCTTGCGGATGAAGCCTTTCGCAACGGGAGGCCTCGTGCCCTTACTCGATTGGTGGGTGAAAAAGTGCATTATACGAGCCATCACGCAGATGTCCTATTTAATCATTCAGCGACATGGTTCCTTTTGCATTGTAGGGCTAGAGTGTGACGTTATTGTGATTTGCGATGGTTCTTCAGCACTTCAGAGCAATGAGTGACGACGCTGTGTTATTTTTAAAAGACGATTCCATCACCAAGAGGAAGCAACTGGAAATTCGCACCTGTATTCGAGCGTCTGATTTCATAAACATGCAAACCACAAATAGTTCGTTCCCTCTGAAAACATTTTTGTATCACAGCAATATTCGTCACTTCATGACCTCTACGCGCCGAGCGCGCGAAGACATTGCAAAGGAAGCACACGACACCGACGAAAATTATCGTTATATAGCAGAAAGACGTCTCAAGTACTCTTTGTTTTTTTTTTCTTAGAGCGAACTGTATTATATATCACGAACTGAAGACTATGATATATTTCCAGCGTTTTTACAAGGGCGTGAGTTGGATAAAGTAAGACTCGTAGACAAACGCTCGCAGCTGCTTTTCCTCTTATACAATTTTACCGCACAGGTACCACAATGTCTAACTCTACAGATAATTTGAAGTTGGGAAACAATATTCTGCCTACATGTTTTAAATAAGTAGTTGAGCGAGTTGGTGCGAATTTATACTATATCTTATAGTAAATAAATCAAGTGCACTAGATAGAAAAGAAAGAATGGCATACGCATCCACCTGCGCTTGTACACTCTTTCGTGTATTTGTAGATTACACGCTTATTAGAAAACGAGCATTCAGATATTCCAAGAAAATACGTTTTGTGGGAAAAATCATGTCGTTTCTCCTTTAATTATTTTTGGCAAAAGCGAATAGCATTCATGAACTTCTGGAATCCCCCCTTTTTGATCGTTGCAGCCCGGCGCCCGTCTTTCGGTAAAGCTACCACTTCCAGTCGACGAAAACGACTTCAAATCCTCTTCAAACTAATTGATAAGTCACAATAATAGAAAAAATGCATGAAAAATGGAACACTTGAGTGCTGTCGGTTTCAACTGAATGTTTACTACAAAGCGCCTGCGAAGATATAAACAAGTGTCAAGGATAATGACGAATTCAATAAACACGTGTGAGCAGAGATTTTAAGCAATTAGATCAAGCTCCTCAACAGCAAGAATGTTACAAACCTGAAACACGTTTGTGTAGGCACTGTATCATGCAGGGCATCAGTGACGTCAACGACGCACTGCTCTGAATGGATCATCGAAATGAGCTGAGAAGCCTCGGTAATTTAAAAGGTGTGCTGCTCTGTATGCATAATCAATACGGCGAAGAGGATGCACTGCTTTTAGGGGCGCTCTGTCCAGAATGACTCATCAAAATTTGTGAAGTGGTCTCAGTACTTTTAAGGGTGTGCTGCTCTGGATGGCTAACCACAATCGTCGAAGAGGCCTTGGTAATATCAATGATTCACTGCTGAGGATGACTCATCAGAATCGCCAAAGAGGACTTGGTGATTTCAAGAACGCGGCATTCTGGGTGGCCAATGAGAATCGCAGAAGAGGCTTGGGTAATACTACTGTTGCGCTGCTCAAAATCGCTCCACCGAATCTGAGAAGAGGCCTTAGTAATATTAAGGCTGCGCTTCTCGGGATGATTCATAACAATCGACGAGGAGGCCCCAGTAACATTAAGGGAACCTGGATGACTCATCAGAATTGGTGAAGATGACCTAGTAATTTAAAGGGTGCAGTGCCCTGGATGGCTATTCAGAATTGGTAAGAGGCTTTCGTAATATCGAGGCTTCGCTGCTGAGGATGACTCATCAGAATCGGCGAAGAGGACTCGGTGATTTCAAGGACGCAGAGCTCTGGACCACTAATCAGAATCGCAGATGAGGCTTTGGTAATATTAGGGCTGCGCTACCCTGGATGGCAAATCAGAAGCCGCGAAGAGGCCTCAGCAATATTAAGGGTACAATGTTTTCTAGAAGACTCGTCAAAATAGGCGAGGAGGCATCGGTAAATAAATAGCGTACTGCTCCGAGGCGGTCTTCATAATTAGCAAATAAGCCTCGGTAATTTCGAAGCTACACTGCTTTGAATGGTTCAACTCGGAGAAAGTCACTAGAACGTCGCAAAAAAAAAATACAAAAAGTGAGAAGCAGAGACATTAAACACAGATGTGTTCACTGTGTCTGCTTCTGACTCTCCGCTTTTCCCCCTTTTCGACATTTTAGTGGCCTTCTTCGAGTTTAAATATGAACTACCTTGCCAAACAAGCAACATTCTTCAGCTCTGAATGACCCAAAAAGGTTGCTTATGTGGCTTGTCGATTTGACATGATACGAGTGGAATACTGCTGTAAGCAAGCACTCCAGTGTGTCAAGCCTTTCTCTGCTCTCGTCTTATGCACTTTTTCCCTGTATATGTACGGCTCGTCAGAATCGGTGAGAGGCCTCGTAAATATCAACGGTTCACTGCTCTGAATGCTGCAGCTGGAAGTAAGCCCCTTAATTGTAGAAAAAGGGAAAAACAAAAAAAGAAGCCGGCTGCATCTTACCCTGGGGGGAACTCGAGTAAATGCGTCACAGATTGGTGGAAGTATCGCGTGAATATAGCGTAATTGGATATGGGTTTAATTGCTATTTCATCTTTATTATTCTTACTTATTGAATGAAGGAGATGCGTTGCCTTCAGTGAGTAGTGGGACGCTGACGTATGGTTGTGCCCCACTACTAGGTGAAGGTAATGTTGCTTCTATCGCATCTACTGGAGTCAAGCAAAGCGTCCACTAAGAAAAAAATTGAGTATGTGACTTTTTCTAGAGAGTCCTGAATTGCCACCCAGCTGTATGACTCCCTTCAAAGAGGCTCTTGCGGGTCAGGGAATCAAGTGATATTCAAAAGAATTGGCATGTCCCTGTGACGACAGTCTTATACGTGGCAACGCAGAACTCTAATTAAACAGGCAAATGGCTTTTCTTTTGTTATAGTGCAACTCCAATGAACTCACAGGTTTTTATTGAATTCGTCATCATTCTTTGTAAACCGTAACAAATGATGTATGTTCTTTCCAATGAACAGTATTTCGAAAGACACCGCTTGAGTAATCTGATCTGCCCTCTCGTTCTTTTTGTACATCTGACTATCAAACTCGCCCTGTTTTCTATGTTTATTCGTATAGTACTTATAGCTCTCGCAGCAGCGATTAATACTAGTTTCACAGGTTTTACTTATCTGCAAGCACACGAAATTCCTCGATCGATACCGCATGATAAACACACAAGCTAGCCTGTCATGTGGGCGTGCTTGTACCGACGACCTCGGAAGAATTCGTTTGCAGCGTAGCTGATCAGAGTGCATTAGTCAACAACATCTCTTCTTTAGAGCAAACCCCACATTGCAGTCAGTTATACACTCGCGAGAGGGCTCAAACAAATAATGAAACGCGGCTTTGATGTTCCCCAAGGCTCTAAGCAACTTATGCAATATTATTCTTCTAAAGAAAAAAAAACTCTGTCAATGTTTTGGTGGGTGATTTTATGGGAATAATTGCTTGGCTTAAATAAAACACGAGCAAGTTATGAACTTCTTTAACGAAGAATTCATGAAGAATTGCTTCGGATGTACGCATAACAAGATAAACGAATTTCACATATGGTACTGCCACAGGAAGCACTGATTGATTTTGAAGCAGTGAAAACGTGTTGTTGCACCAAGCTCTTTAGGATCTGTTGTTTTCTAAGTAGGCACAGATGGCTGTGAAACCTCGCAGCGCTACAAGCATCAGAAGCAGCAGCTTGTGTGCCACTTCTCTACATTATGTTCGTGGAAACATTGAAGACATGTTCTCTGTGAAGACCTGGTTGATTCGGCAGAATGTGGTCGTTGCTATTCCAGCACATGATGTCCATCATGGTTGTCGAAACAACCTGCGTAGTTCACGTGACGCGATCCGTCTCAGGGCGGACACGGTTTGAGGCCATTTTCCAGACGACGAAGTAGCCAGCCTGGGCCAGCAGAGTGACCAGGTACTTGTCGCTGTGCAGGAACCGAACGCACGTCACGGGAGACGAGCTGACCTTCTGCTCCGTGAACCCCGCCTGCGAACATTGGCAACATTCACGGGTCTGCGTAGGGGAGCGTACTGACGGGCAAAATGAACAGACTTCACACCTTTAAGTATATCATAGTGGTAAGCAGCTCCGATGCTATCTCTCGATGTTACGCGAGCTCCACACTGTGGTCAAAATGTCCAAAAAAAATTACACCATCTCCTCTAAAAGGAATCATCTGGGGATGCAAAGTAGCGCTGGCGTTCACTTTTTTTCCATTTTTGTTTCCATTTGTATGTTTTCGCGTATGTTTTATATGTGATTGATTGATATTTGGGGTTCAACGTCCCATAATCACCATACGATTATGAGAGACGCCGCAGTGGAGGAATCCGGAGAGTTTGACCACCTGGGCTTTTTTATCGTGCACCCAAATCCGAGCACACGGGCCTACAACATTGCCGCCTCCATCCGAAATGCAGCCGCCGCAGAAGGGATTTGGTCCTGCGACCTGCGAGTCAGCAGCCGAGTACCTTAGCCCCTAAACCACCACGGCGAGGCTGTTTAATATGTGTGTAGAGTTGTACATATGTTGTACACCACTTATGTCACCTCCCCTCCCTTAAGTGTGTATTACCCTGTGTGTGCCACAAAGTGAATACCCAGCGCTGCTAGGAGAGTGGAACGGCGCGAGCGAGCACAGCATTCACACGAGTGAACAGCTGGGGCGAGGACACAAACGGGAAAGAGAAACGAAGCGGTGGCAGCACTCTCGTCCACCCCCCTTCCTCGTATGAGTGCGACAAGAGGGTCCCCGGCGAGCGTCTGCTCCCCCATTGCGCATGTGCCAACTCTGCCCTCTCCTCTTGCTCACGTGAGGAGAGGGGAGACAATTGGCGCATGCTCATTGGGGGAAGCTGACGGTCGTCGAGGGACGGACACAACCCCGAGTAAAAAGCTGCTTCGCAACTCATAAAGGTTCGAGTTTTGCGTGCCAACACCACGATATAATTATGTGGGACGTGGTATTGGAGGGCTCTGAAATTGTTTATCACCTGGGTTCTTTAACGCGCTCCCAAATCACGGGGGTCCGATTGTCTAATAGGCATCTTTTCTTTTTTATGGCTGCTAGGGAGAAGCTTGTCCTCATTCGCGACGATGGTTGTTGTGGCATAGTAATAGCCAAGATGCGCCAGGACATGAATGGTAGCCTAAGGTGGCTGTATAAGGGCCTCGAAATCCTGCGCACTAAGTTTGTGAAGAATACACGCACTATATAAAACAATAGAAGCGATATAGAATTCACCACTCAACTGCTGGCCCCACCGCGGTGGTCTGGTGACTAAGGTACTCGGCTGCTGATCCGCAGGTCACGGGATCGAATCGCGGCTGTGGCAGCTCCATTTTGTTGAAGGGGAAAATGCTGTAGGCCCGTGTGGTCAAATTTGGGTGCATGGTAAAGAACCCCAGGTGGTCGAAATTTCCGGAGCCCTCCACTATGGCGTCTTTCATAATTATATGGTCATTTTGGGACGTTAAACATCACATGTTTACCTATATCTTTATCGCAATGAAATACTGTGCCCATGCACAAGATTTACCAAGTCAACAGACGTTTCTCACAAAAGTCTCTTTGAGACAGTAGTGCCTAGTAGTGCTTCACCATTTTAGTACAGATATGGCATATTATTAAGAAAACGGTGCGACAGAAAAGAAATGAAAAAAAAAAAACTTGTGCACAAAATGAAAATAGTTGTCTGCTGTGACGCGAAAGCGTGTCTTTATTCTGTGCTTTTAATAACTTGAGTGTTGAGCCAGAACTTGAGTTCGTGTCGTAGAAGAAGAACATAAACTTAGTTGCTGAATCAAGTACTCTTTTTGTTTTATTGCGATAGCAATTACATGGACTCTCTCAGATGATTTTTTCCATCGGCGTTGGTCGACGCCGTCATACTCCATTTATGTATATGTATGTGTACATGTATATATAGCATCTGTATAACTACTGTGTCGACGTGATGGAAGACAAATGAGAAAGAAGACGTCGGTTAAGGGGATGTGAGCCACAGGGTTTTTTCGTAGAGCAAAAAGAACATGAAGACAGGAGCTTGACCGACCTGCCACAGGGGGTATGAGTCCAAAGAGAGGGTGAGCAAAAACAACGCAAGAATGATTCATCGGGAAAGAGGCTGCGGGACTGAACTAATCAGAATAACCTTAATCGTTTAAACTCTAGAGTTCCCAGATTCATGTAACGTAACTCAAAGTCCGTCTTAGATTTGGTGTTTGCTAGCTCAAATGTTACTATTGTCTTGGATTGTTCTTGATACTGCTAAACGTAGGGATCACCATCTCCTGGTATTTGAAGTTAGCATTCCATTAGTGATGGTAGTCCACCAGATGCAAAGATATGTAGACTACTGTAAACTTAAAAAGAATTTACAGTCAACTTTGTCTCTCGTGCCCAGTACGGTAAGAAATGTTAAAAGTATGAGCCTTTGTTGAACTTTAGAGCGTAATTAAAGAATTACAAATCAGTGTATCTTCGATGAAACGAAACTAAATATCTGATGGTGGAATTCGGATTGTGCTAGAAATCATAGACGCCGGAAAGCTGCATGGAAAAATCCCCTTGCCAACCAATGTCTTACTAATTGGAGAAATTATTTGTATGCTAAAGATACGTTTAAAAGAGCAGACTCAGTAGCCAAAGTTATATTTGTCTATCTGAGAGTGGTAACAAGAAAGCTGTGTTAAGATTTTTTCGTAATCATAAGGCTATTGCAGCACTCGTAAATATTGACTCAGTTATTTTTTCCTCACTGTATTTCGAAGATATGTTATCGGAAATCGCAGAATAATAGAATATATTTGCATCACAAATGCAAATGAAGTTGGTAAAACCTTCATACGAAAATTATTTTGTTGAAGTAACAAGGAATGAACTTGCGCACGTAGTTCGTCTTCGGCCAAACACAGCTCCCGGACCAGATGGTGTCACTTCAGGAATGCTATAAATATTGATTGAAATCTTTCCTGAAGACCTTCTTAACGTTGTAAGCCACTCACTTAGTAATAGTTGGATACTTCCTGACTGGAGACCTGCAAAAATAATTCCACTTCTTAAAAAAAACAGGGACTAGGAATGCAGATAGGTAACATTAGGCCGATCGCTTTAACATCACATGTTTTAATTTAATAGACAGAATACTTTACCTTAGAATTATGAAGTTTGTAACAGATAATGCAATACTCAGAATGTGCCAGATTGTAGTTAGACCAGGTTACTCGACACGCTGCGCACATGTTCATTCAAAGGCTAGTATAAAGCTGCCTCGGCACAGGCGACTATATGTTGCTCTAGTAACCCTTGATTTAACCAAGGGATATTTTAGTTTTAACCAGGCTGTTTTTATCATTGCCCTAAAGGACTCAAACTTCCCGAAGAACATTGAAAATTGGATGTATGAATTTTGAAAAGATAGAAAGTTCTGTTGCTCTCCCGCCGAGGTGGTCTAGGGGATAAGGTACTCGGTTGCTGACTCGCAGGTCGCGGGATCGAATGCGGGCTGTAGCAGCTGCATTGTCGTTGCAGGCGAAAATACTGTAGGCCCTTAATGCAGCATTCCCAATTAGGGCGCCCCCGAACTGAGCCTTGAACGTATACATACTAAGAAGCTATAAGTATAGCTGTGCGCCACCACCGAAATTTCGAGAGGTACCACGCCTCCACCACGCCATATTTACGGCACGCCGCCATTTATTCTTGATTGCGATAGCAGTTATATGTACATTCACGGCTGGACTTTGCCGCCGGCGTCATTTATTTTATATGTATACGCATTCATATATATGAAAACACAAGAAGGAAACATAATCCAGAAGAAAACTTCGGTGCGCGAAATCAAACGTCCGACCACTTGTGAGTGCGAGGCGTTAGCCACAGAGCAACGATGGAAGAATCGCACTGTAATCGCACTGCAGATATAGCGTGTAAGAATTGTAGGGAAGTGAAGTGTAGTTGAGAAGAAAACCAAAGGAAGAAGCTCTGTGTCATTTCATTCAAACAGCGGGCGAATTTCTTACAGTGAAGATGACGCAGCTTTCTATAAAAATGCTAGGCCGCTTCGACGGTTTCTGTATATTTTTTATGAGAAGATTGAGAGATTGTAACATCTTTGCATCTTTGCAGGCTTTCGTCGTCGCTGTCATGTTCCGTATAGATACCCAATCAATAACTTTTCTACACACATTTTACGCTGTTTCCGCGGATAAAATCTCGCGAGTGAAAAACACAGTTGAAGCATAGTAGAAGCAAGCTGCCCACATCAATCACATGGAGGGCGCATTGGATAACTTGTAATGCCTGCCCTTGATTGCTCCTCAACTGGTGAGGAAACCCTGTCCGTCTTTTGCTGGATGAAGGAGTATATATATGAAGAGATACTCAGGTAGAAGGCTGCGCGGGGTCATCTGCAATCGTGAACACCAGCGCGTTCAGCAGGCATCATAAGGGCTCGCATGCTCTTCTACCTGCTGAGATATCACTCTTCAGGCTGCTTTTTTCCCCGAAGCGGCCGTATTCCCATATATACAAGTCTTGAAATAGATCAGATGAAAAAAAGTTAGCTGCAGCCTAAGTTCGTTATGGGGCTGCGCGCTCCTATCTCATGGTGTAATATGTGAGGTCGTGGAAGGGTTTCATGGCCATAAAACTGTTCAAGTCTCTTCAATCTAGCGTGTTCTCCTCAAAGAGCTGATATCAAAAACGGTTTGAGCATTTTTAATGTTGATGACACTTCCGTACTGGACACTTTAGCATCATCTTTCGGGGAATTTGAACGTCGTGGCAAATTTTTCAATGTAGATGCGCTCTGTCTTAAAATTTGTGCGTCAATGCCTATCAAATCATATGCCTCAAAATTATATTATATGAAACCAAGACAGTGTTGGTATCATAAAGATATGATTCATCTTCCTCGTCGCGGAAAGCGAATACGTAAAAATTGTAACGATACAGCTTAATATTGTGATGCATTAATTTAGAT